CTGTGTACATCCCTTTGTCTGGGAGGGGTAAGAAATGGATGTACACAGGCCACCCATACACCTGATAAATTATTTTATGGACCAAAATACCCTATGATTGTTTTAAACAGACTTTTAATTGCATTTTCAGATGTACTCCGCAACAATTGCTACATTTAGAGGATTGTAACCCGGTTAGTATCACTTTGTCATGCGATTGATACATTAACGTTCACGTGTCTCTTTGGACAATGTATGGTTCAGAGAGAAATACATATTGGCAGACCAAATCAGCCTGGTTGAAAGCAGGAGTGTCTGGAAATCAGCAACTTTGTCTTTCTTGTACAATCATATTTGCTGCGCCGATCCAACTCTGAGTCCCTGGTGAAAAGATTGTAGGACCAAGGCTGATGGCACCAGAAAGTGGAATTCTAGTCATGTAGCCCTAGGTTCAGTCTTTCCTGTGTTCACTGGCTTGAGTGGTGTTTCTGCTTTTAAGAATACAATGCATTGTGTGGAAAAGTCCTACAATGCTGTTGGTCACCATGTCTCTAATGTGTATTTTAAGTTTTAGTTCATATAGCTTCTGTTAAAGTTTATGTTTTAATCTTTGACTTCAGGAAATTACAGAGGAGTCAGATGATTTATGGCAGACACATTATCGACGTGAATTTAAAACAGAGAACCGACTTAAAGGCCTCTCGTGGCGGGATTCTTACTTGGTAAAATAGACTCATTATGATTAATTATTGATCATAAATTCATTATTATCATTATTATCAGGCAAAACATGAAGAACGAGAAGAACGGTTAAAGAAAATCAATGCAAAAATATCTGCCTCCCAAGCTGCTAAAAGACCAGGTCTGTATCAATATCATTAGATGTTACTGGAAATACTCCATATACTAATGAAGTAAGAAGGTCATTTACGAATTCAGTCACAAAGAAAAGAGGTTTACAAAAACCATTAAGCCAACTGCACTAGATAAAATTAGATTTGAGGTGTTTCATCTCCTTGTCCATTGGCTTTTCCAAGAGGATTATAGTTTCAAAAAATATAATATTAATTTATTAGAATTTTCTCAAATATCAACTGCTAACATTGCAGAGCGTCAAGTGAAGTTAGCTTACGTGGAGACTATAGCCAAACCACCTCCACAAATTCGCAGGAAACAAGCAAAGTTTGGTACTGCTCATGGTGCTGCAGGAAATGAAGTACCATCAAATGCAATCTCACCAATCAAACATAAATCAAATCATCATAAACCAATTCACACATCAAATCCTTCAAGACACAATTACTCATCAACACATTCACAACCAAATAACACAAGTTTGCAATCAAGTCAATCAACAAGTACTTCCTTACAATCAAGTCATATATCAACACAATCATCGGCAATGTTAGCTCAACAAAGACGACCTGCATCAGCTCCATTACTAAAGAAAACAATGAAGATGTTTAAGAACCAAAGGTACAATCTTTTTCTATGTGCAATTGCCAGAAAAGTCTACCAGAGTTTCCTTGATTACATTATGGCACCCACAAAATCCACTGGAATTGAAACTCTTATTTTGTACATCCACAGGTCAATAAATGGTGCTCAAATCAAGAGAAGGTGAATTCAAAGTCTGTGCATTGAAGAAATAGAGATTAAATTAATGTGACTATATTTATATGACTGTGGATTGCATGGCTTTGAGAGATTTTTAGGATTTTCGAGGATTGTCATGCAAAAGAAGGCATTTATGTGGTGCCATTTATGTTAGTGTATCATGTTGCTGAAACTTGGGCAAATAGTCTTGAAATGACTGTGGATACCGTTGCTGATCAATGTCAAGCATACCTCCAACTGGGGAGGAAAAAGAAATTAACAAGAATGTTATTCATAAGACTATTAATTTATTTATAGACATAATGCATGTCAGTAGAAATTTAATTAATTATAATTGCTGAATACTGCTTCAATTTAATATTATTTCAATGTAAATTATTAGGAAAATAAGGGAATAAACCCACTGTTGTGGTTGGGAATAATTAGTAAATATAAATTATGAATTAGTACAAGTTAAGGGGATTAATTTTAAACACTGTTTGATAGTGACAGAATGGAATCACTGCACTACAGCAATAATGTTATGTTGCACAGATTTAGTGTTCATACAAATAATGTTGCATTGGGTTATCATAGACATGTAAGTAAAAACCACTTTAAGATGGAAATCCTCCAAAGTCAGCAAATTAGATCACATAAACCTTTTAATTATAAATCACTGACAATAAAATATACAAACATAAGGGCAATGTCACATTAATAATGCATTTATATGCCACTATGTACTATATAATTTATAATAAAAATAATTTTACATTTATATACTTTAAACAAATCATATAAATGTTATACAATTTCCCCAAATAATTTCATTTTACATATTATTTAAATCATCCACTCATAATAATTTATATTCATAATAGTCTCTATTTTGCATAGCCAGTTCTAGAGTCTTTTGTCTATAAAAGTACATATAACTTCAATGTTTCCCTGGAAACAAACTTGTCAGCACAAATCAATGATACCATTTTGATTGACCATACATACTACAGCAAGAATGTAACTTTGTCACATAACAGCAGCTTGTAACAAGAGAATCATATCACTGTAGGTTGTAACTGACCAATCATATAAGTTACTACAAGATGTAACTGACCAATCACTAGACAACAAGATCTAACTCTCCAATCACCTCACAGGATGATGTAACTGACCAATCACTACACAGCAAGATGTAACTGACCCATCACCTCACAGGATTGTCACTTAAAAATGTTTCAGAATAGTGTTACTGTAACTGACTAGTAATTAGATCACATTGAGTTGTCCATAACAAACTTTGGGTCTACTTGTGCTACTTTAGCAGCATAGAATGCATGCATAACAGTCAGCACTTGCTGCATATTGGTGAACTCAAGTTCCTGAAAGGAAAAAAATAAAATAGGGAATGCTTCTATTTTTTAAGAAATGCATTTGACAACCTTGGTTATAATAAAATGACCAATTGGCTCTAAATATGACATGGCTGATTTACTGAAGCTGTGTACCTGTCTGTCAAATGGTCCTGTCGGCAATGGTGAAAAGAGAAGTATGATTTTCCTGTGTCCATCATCAGATGACCCTCTGAGATAGGAGAACCGGTATTGCCAGATTAACGTCTACCAAACAAATAACTTATCAAAATACACCAATGAATAGGTGATTTGCATTATGGCGTCATTAACTACAACTACCACAATGCTTTGCCCACTCTTTTTTGTAATGCAATTATTGCCAATTGTTTTACTAAATCGCTAAAACATCTGAATAACAATGAAAATGCGCAAGGCGCTCTGGTAGTAATTGTACTAGTAAAGTTATGCCATTATGCAAAAATAGCCTATTGGAATGTAGAAACAGTCATATGTCTTTTAATATTACAGTTACAATATTAAATAGTCTTGGCAAAATCATGACAACCATGTAGGAACAACAACAATCATAAATTTCACTTACCCTGTCCTCTGCACTGTACAACCTTAAACCTCGTTTGAGATCAAGAACCAATTTGACTGCACGACCATGCCACTTACCAGGGAAAGTCCGACACTGAAACAGAATTAATGATTTGGTTTTAATCTAGCTAATAATAGATATTCTAAAGTACATGTACATCAGGCAAGATCAAATCAGTGGATTGAGAGTCCAATGTGACTACTTTCCTAGCCTGAATGACTAGATCAAATAAATTGTAGTGTACAAGTCCATCCAATTCACCTCATTATAGATTTTTTTCCATTCATTTAATATAATCTATTCATTAGTCAATTCATCCATATATATCCATTTGGTTATTCATTTCATATACCATTCTGTCTGATTCTTTTCACTCAATTATATATATATTCATCCACATCATTGAAATCTGCATTCATTTTAATCCCACCCATTATTTATTTCTTTACCTCAACTTGGGCAACAGAGATGTGTGTTGCTCTGTGGACACAGTTTCCAAGCTCTATAGCATCAACTTGGGTATCTAAATCAAATCCATTTGAAAAATAGTTACCTATCAAGAATACTTAGTTCAAAGTTTGTTTAAATTGATGTTAGAATATAACAGAAGAAAGATGGTTGAACTTGTTGCAAAAATCAGCATTTTTTATTTGACCCGAGACCGCCAAAAGAAACACAATCTAAAAAAACCCTGTGATTGTCTGCCATAAAACTGACAAGAATTAAAATACTCAGAAATATCTCCTTACCCACACTAAAATAACTTGTTTCCCCCATCCAAGTTTGAATATAAAAACAATTCTCTCTTTTGTCCAAAAGTTCATCATCCTACAGCAAGAAAATAGATTCATTTGTTCAATTCCAAGTTTGTATGATTCAACACCATTGTATATAAGAGCAGTCCTACTCACTCGACAATTGTGAAATACAATCTCCATTAAATTAAAAGTAACTTCACTTTGAAGCCAGTCACGGGTTACTACCTGAGATTGAAGGAAAATTTGATTATAAATGGCAAAAGTTCTCATTTGTTTTGACTGGAAGACTCTGAATGACAATCAACCCAAAAGAGGCTTCATTTAATGGACTCACCAAAAAAAACAGTTGATTTAAAAGCAATGCCAACAGTAATTGACAGCAGTCTATACTCTGTCACAATGATAGTGTCATTATCCATACTAGATAAAAATTTTCAATTTTCCAATACTTACCGGAGGCATATCAAACAAAAATATTTCTGATCCTTTGATGGACATAAATTTTCTTTTCCATACATTCCAGTGGCTAGTAGACTGAATTCTCTCCCAAACCCAACACATGTGAATGATTTGCTCAGCAGAAGGTAAAGATGAATTAGACATATTAATCTAAAAAAAGAATCATGTGACATAATGAAAGTACTGTAAGTGTTAGTAAAGAGAAAAAAAGAGATGGAAGTAAGAGGAATTGGGGGTAAGAAAGAGTTGAGGATGGGGAAAAGGGAGAATATAGAAAATATAAGAAAGAAGAAATGAAGAGAGAGAAGGGAGGACAGGAGAAGCAAGCAAGGATGTGAGAACAAAGGGAGGAAGATATGAAGGGGTCAGGGATGCTAAAAGAACACAGGGTCAGAGGATGTGAATGGAGAGTGGGGATAGAGAAAGAGTGGGGATGAGAGATGGAGGATGGGCACAGAAAAAGAGGTGATGACCGAAGAGAAGGAAGGAGGGGGAAATTAGGGAACAGATGGAGATGAGATTAGGTTAGGAGGTTGAAAAGAGGGAAGGGTGCTAGAAAAAGCAAGGGGACAGGATAAAAAAGTCAGGCTGTAAACAAGGAGGTATGTAGTGAAGTAATGTCAATGAATACTTACTGACTGGTCCAACAACATGGTTATTCTATCTTTTATTGCTGTGTACCATGACAACAATTCACCACTATTTTCACTGTACAATACAACTGATGCACCTCCATCCATTGAACTCACTTCAAAGGCATTAGCTCTAGAGAAAGAATCAATAAATCAGAAATCTAAGTGTTTATCAAAGACACTACAACAGGAGTGTATTATCATCAGACCTGAGATTATCTTCTCCAGTTTTGTACCGAGAGATTGAAGCAAAAGTTAGAGGAAGCACAATGTTGTCAGTCCAACTCTGCATAGACGACGTGGAGTCTGTTTCTCCAAAATCAGAAGACTGATAAAAAAGAAAAGTGGTATAACTAAATTTCAAGATAAAGAAGAAAGTTTGTGGTTGTGTATGAGTCATCAAATATACTCACCCCACTACTATTGAGACGATGTGAGTCATTTGATTCCTCAATACTCCGCACAATGCCATTTGCTATAAAAACATTAATGATACATAGCACAGCAAATTAGTATATTGCTGATTCATAATAACAATGAAAACAAATAATGCAATAGTACAACAGCACTTTGAATAGACGAAAAGCTATTCACTTTGGTTTTCCTTTAGATTAGATTTGATAAATATTAACCTTGTTTTTCTTGGCGGCTTATAAACCCTCCTCTTGAATGATCAACCAATAACAGAACTTCCGGACCAGATTCTTTCAAAGCTGCAACCTACATGAAAATTACTTGCAATAAATGCAAACAGCTGAATGTAGCTCATTTATCAAATGAATGGTTAGGAAAGACTGGATGGGATAGGATACACAGGATGGATGGATGGGATAGGATAAATTGGGACAAATGGATGATAAGATAATAATTTAAGATAACTTGATAAAACCATTTTGAGCAAATAAAAGAAATTTTTCGTGACACATTATGAAATGTGAATGAATAGGACTCCCAATGGAAATTGATAACATGAGAATTGAATTCCCAACATGCACTTTCATAATTTTTCTCATTGTAGCTTAAAGATTGCAGTCTCTTGAAGGGAAACAGCAAGAGCCTAATTCAATGCAAAGTGAATGAATGAATTGTACTTACAGCTTCATCATGTGTAGCATTTCTTAAATCCTTGTTGTTCACCTGATTAAAAAAACACCTTTTCTCAAACTGTAATAACTAATAACTGCCAGGTCAGTTATCGTACCTCTAAAATGATGTCCCCTTCACATAACTGTCTTGTTGCTGCAGCTACATACAAAATAATTATTGTCAGTGGGATGCCTGTAGCTTAAGGCACAAGGAGCCCATACCTGCTTGATTCTTGTAGATTCTAGAGATGGCTATTGGTAAATTGCTTTCTTTTCCACCCTGCATAATCACAGATAGAAACATAGTCAATGAATTGTCAACCAACCTATTGTGAGCAAACATGATATAGAAACCAAAAAATACTGTCAGCAGATCAAGGATTTTCATCAGATTGCCTAAATTAAGCACCAATTAAAGTGGACTTCAATGAATAGAGCATACTGTCCTGGAAGCCTGGATCTATTACTATCAGCTGGTTTAACCCATTTCATACATGTAATTCATGTAAGGATTTTATAAAACCTTTGTCCATCACTCATTGCATGGCTGACCAGCTAGTGCATGAACCTGCACTAATGCTTGGCCATGTTGCTAAACACAATTTATAAAATACATTACAGGCCTGTAACCAGGGGTTGCAATAGGTGCACAGGCCCTCCCCTCCAGAGAAGCTGTCCAAAGGTCTGCTCATCTATCTCCATGTTTTTTTAAGAAATTATATGAATCTTTGTTTTAGATTTTAAATCAATTTCTATTTAATATTTTGTTTCACTTCCATCTACCATCCTTGTCTCCTTACACTGACACTAAGCAACAATGATATACTATTATAAAATAACCAGTCATCATGAGCAGGGTCTGATCAGCACGGGTCTGATCATGATAGGTTGAGAAAACAATGGACAAACAATAGATAAGTCTTCCAACAATAAAACAAGCTCTAACCTAACAATAGAGCTACTGTACTTAAGCAGCAATCAAAAAACAGGCATCAATCGGTACTGTATTATATTGCTGTTCATCATAGTTACCTTTATACTCATCCCCAGTCCTCCTTCCTTTCTCCTCCTTACTTTAACCAGCTGCTTCTGGTTCTAAATTCACAACATATCAATCAAACAACTGTGATTATTTGATAAGGAAATTGACCATAAAATTTAATAAGAAATGTCAATTCACTTCCTACATGAACTTATCATTGTCAGGTCTGCATTACTTTTAGCAAAATGCCTCAATTTGAAAAATGGCAGCAGGGGATTGTCTTGTTTTAAAAGACAACACCTATTGAAATCAGTGTGTAAACAAACATTACCATGATTTTTTTTTGGTGATAATGATATGTCATTCCGATAAAAATCGTAGGTGCTGTATAATACCTAACAGTATTGTAAATACCAGTCTTAGCTTAAATTAACCTTCAACATTTAGTATTTAGTATTTATATTTAGTATTTCATACATATTATTATGAATCCCTACAGAAAAGTGTTATCGGATTAATGTTTAGGTCAGACAACTGCACAGGAAAAACCCCTTCACTGTCAAGAGCTCATCACTCAATGAGACCTCTAGCCTGCGTGGTACATCGTTCCCACCCTCCCCCTATTGGGGGAAGGGGTGGAAATAGTTGTGCATAGGCTGGAAGAACTCACATTTTGAACAATATCCTTTTCTTGTGCTGATCTTTATGGGAAGAAAGGGGGTTTTTAGTAAACTCTTTTACTGCTCTACTGTATGGTCTGGTACTTCAAAACAAAACATCAATAAACTACAACTTTTACAGAATTTTGCAGCTAGAATCTTGACAAACACTAGAAAATATGATCATATTTCGCCAGTTCTAAAAGAGCTAGGTTGGATATCCATCAATAACCAGTTGAATTTAAGGGATGCTTGTCAAGTTTTCAAAATAGTGAATGGACTCGCCCCACAATATCTATGTGGAAAGATAARCAAAAGATCTGAATCACATACCTATAACATGAGATATAAAGACAATCTTAATATTCCTATGTGCAGAACTTCTACCGCGCAGCGTTCCTTTTTCTTCAGGGCGCTTAAGTTGTGGAATGACTTAAAGATATCGAAAGAACATAGTTCACTTAAGTCCTTCAAGAGATCTTTAAGATACATGATGTCATGATCCTATCCATTAGTATTTGTATCTTTAATAATAATTGTAATTTTTATAATTATTGTAAATTATTATAAATAGGAAATTTTACTCTTAATCATCATTGTAATTTTACCAGTTTGTACTTATGTAAATTTGGAAACTATTGTAAATTAGGCATGAAAAGCCATTTTTGGACTGCTTAATAAAAATTATTGTATTGTATTATTGTGGGGGAAGGCATTATAAACATAAAAACGTTTAACAATCATGCCATAAATACTGAATGTGCATCCATATGAATAAATACTGTTCACATTTTATAGTTGACTTGAATATTTTGTTCAGAAGAAGGGAAAAAGAGAAAAAGGGAAAAATGAAAATGAATGAGAGAATGCAAATAAATTAGAAACACTATAACAGGTGAAAAAGACTGTCAAAGATTGAGAGGCGAGTCGTCAAATAACAACACTGACAGCGAGTTTGAGACGCCAAGTTATTAATTTAAAAGTAGGCAGTATTTATATCAAACATGATGATATTTCATAAATCGCTGGTTTAATTATAAATCAAAAGACTTTGCAAGCGATCATTCCTGAGAGAAATCAATTATACATGAAAACTTCTCGTCGTCCTTCAAAAAATATCATCTTTAAAAATATCACAACCAAAATGAGTACGATTTCCATTGATATTGATATCACTATTTCCATAGGAAGCGACAGAATTAGAACTAAAAATCATAAACTCGATCGAATTCATTGCTTTAAATTATCACTCATTAGAACAGATAATCAAATATTCGATTTGAAGTGAATTCGATCGAACATAAAGTCAAAAGAAATCAATTTACTTAGTTCAAGTAAGATGAAGTCCTGTTAGTTCATGTGCGAAAATAACTTCAACTTGTTGACCCTTGGTTGCAGCTACGGCAAGAGGTCAACAAACTGGAACTCGATAAACTGACTTTATTTCTGATCTCCCTTGCTGTATTTCACAAATATCCATAATACAAATAACAGAGTATTTGTTTTCAAAGTGAATCGTACTTACATCGTCAGAGGCAGGGACTTCAAGAGCATTTGGCGAGGTATAAGGTGGACCTCCTTCTTTCTGGATAGTCAAAGCATCCTTAGAAAGCTTGACGCGGACTTTCTGAAGCTCTCCTCTGTTAAGTTGCATATGCAAAAAACCCAAAGTCGCCGGTTTCTGTTAAGAAAGAAGAACATTCCAATAGTTAACTTTGATGAATGGCCATAAATGGTGCATGCTTCGGCGCCAAGACGGCACTTGCATGTGCAGTGATGTAAGCAATTTTTTTTCCAGTAAAGCTTACGATCTCACGCTATACCTGAGCCATTCCTGCTTGACTTACAACGACTCAAACTTTACAGCATTTCTGTGCATGAATCCAGTACTGACATTACGATGTTGTGAAGGTTTGTTGTCAATGAGACGACGAGATCTTACTAATACGTTAATCCTATGGGCACCCTTGGGCTGAGAGGTGCTGGGACTTACATAACAGCTATTGTATGTTTGATTATGTCGAACAAAAGAATGACTTCGTTTTAATGGAGTAAATTTCAAGAAAGAAATAAAGTCACCCGTGCATCAGAGATTTTATTTGTGTAGTTTTTTCAGTAGTTTTATTTTCTTCTTTTCTTGGAATATTTTTTCATGACTTTGAGCATTCACTTTTCCTTTCTTTCAGATTTCAGAGATAAAATATTTATGTAGTCTAAAATTGTACAATTCATCGCATTCGCGTTATAATTTGTATCAGATCCATTCATTCTCTCAATCTTTCATCCATGCCTACATCCCCTCATTCACAGTAATGGGTAACTCATGATATTTATTTCTTTCCCATTACCTTTTGTAATGGATTATATCAATGATACAGACTATTAAACTATATCTAATTGCTGTGTTTTCAAATAAATTCGCTAAGAGTGTCTATCCAATAAATCTCTGTTTTAACTACTTCCTTTGCCGATCAAATACCGAAAATTCATCGGCACGTATTTTACTGCCTTATCATCAAAGAGTAAATTGGGTTATACCCCTGACACGGCATCGATAAGCTAATCTTATTATAGTAAAGACATAAATAAACTTTTGCATTTCTGTTTTATCCAGTTTATTAAAGCTCAGATCGTTGAATGAAGATAAAAGTGAAAATCAAAATTTGCGGGAGCAGTAAAATGAGTCACCAGCCATTAAAAGATGAGTGGTTTGACAGTAAAATGACAAGATGACAGCCAGATAAAGCACATTCGACACAAACTGCAGTTTTTAATTAATTTTCTAAACCATTATAACAAAATGCTCGTTTTTAGTTTTAACTATTCCCGGTACCGCAACACCCATCCATGACCTCCGTTTTTTGTTTATTTGTTTTTAACGTTATAAAGCCCCTTTAAATTCATATAATTCTTAGAAATACTGTAATAGCTCAGATCGGCGAAGCTCCGTGGTCATGTTTTAGCTCAAGCAAGAAACGATTTTTCTTTCAACAAGAAGCTTCTGCCAACCCATTCAGCAACTCTTTCACGTCCCCAATCAACAATCTGCATGATAGCCTTCAGTGCAGACATTTTTAGAGTTTTGGTTCCAACCGCTAAAAACCGCGTCTTCAGCAGAGGCTAACATTCCAACGATTGAGAAATGAATAGCCCAAATAGTAAGGATTAATCAGTGAATCCCAGGGCGGTACTCCTACTTATTCATAGCATCATAGTGATGATCGTTGGACATTTAACAAAAAACCTTTAATATATAAAGACAAGTCTCACTGAGGCGGGTGAGGCAACATAATGATCTTCAGCCTTACACCATTCAAAATCTATATCTTTAGATCACACTGTTGCAGTAGTATTACACAGATCACAGTGAAGAAAGGTTGACCTCTACCTCACCTCCCCACGGGGCGCTCCACGGCGCACGCACGACAACCTTATACATACACTTGCGCACAAAATGTATGAAGGGAACATTTACTAGAGATCTAGAAGCAAACTGAATGCTAAGTCTGACATACAGCAAACCGACTCTGATAGTGATAAACCTTGAGTATTAAACACAGATCGCAGCGGACTTGGTATCCCGGGAAGCTATTCAAAATACAGAGGCAGGGATGTATATTGAATTCACCGGTAAATAACACAGTTTAAAACAGCGCCTTGAATGAAGTTGATTAAATTTCTTGCACAAGTATTCTGACTTACCATTAGTCTAGCACAAGTATTCTGACTTACCATTAGTCTAGCTTGAGTGTTCACAAAGGTAAATTGTAGATCTTGCAACTAACTAACTAACCTCTGGCTAAAGACGGAAATACTCTGTTGGCTTGTGACCGGAAGTATTTCTCTCGAGATGTCGGAAGTAAAATAAGAAATCCTACCATCACTTTGAACAGGATAAAAACTAAGGGGGAGGGGGGAGTGGATAGACAGACCAGCTCGACCCCAACTGTAAATCGATGCGACAATCTTTAGATACTGATAGATAAATCAGGGGGGGGGGGAGGAATGGAGAACAGAAGTATGGCATGCTGTAACGATGATAATAAAAGAGAATAGAAAACATTATGACATATAGCATCAACCCAAAAGCAGTCTGAGTATTAGTCTCTCTAGAAGTGTGACTGAGCGCAGCGTCTTGTCAGTGAGTACCGTTTGGTAAAAGCGCTGTCTTTGATTTTACTGAAAACTTTTTTATCAATTACGTACCCTTGCACATAATTGTTGTGCTGAAAAAGATGGATGACAATCATGGTTAACTCTGTGATCAAATGTTGTGATTGTTGGCATTAAATCAACCTGAAAGAGGCAGAGGGGGTCAGATCGTAAACACAGATTGTACAAACTTGACAGCCAAGTGAACAACAAATGAGATTCATTTATCAGTAACGAGAAGCACAGAAAGGCATTATTCGTGCGGTTTGACGCATGACTCGCTATCCGACAATGTGAACAACTATCACAATTTGATATTTAGAAAGATATTGAGAATTATCGCTATGTTTTTGATGTAGTAACCATGAAGTAGTAATGTTGTACAGTTTTCGTCAGCTTAAGGTACATTTGTATACTCTACCAGCTATACAGCTCCTACTATAACCGTGAAAGAGCACGCGACAATGCGGTACACATCATATACCTGGTGAAATGCACATATAAGTGCGTAAGTCGAATCAAAAGGGTTTAGGAGTTTAGCCTTTACAAGATGCTAATGTACTCAAGCGTACGTGTGGTTGTAGTAAAGGTCAGATTGACAAACCATGTAGATCGGTCGACCACAATAAAGCTTTGCGCTGTATGACTTCAATACATGGACACCCATGGAACATTGCCGACTAAAGCGCTCCATAGCTTGATTTGCCAGACGCAAGAATGCACTTTTAAAGGATTATCCTACGTACTCAACAAGATACACTGCGCCAACGTAGCGCAATGTGTGTTTTTCTAAATTTTGCCCATATATAGATATCGTTACCAGCAATGTAGATAAAATATCAGACCTTACCTACATAGCCTGTAAATACAAAATACCGGTGTATTATGAATTAGACATTTTGAAACACGCAAATGATGACACAAATTATAAATGACGGAAAATTTAAACCTCCTGGGTCAGGCGGTCCTTGATGGAACGGGCTAGAATCCACGCAATCCAAGTATTTCTTTTGTATAAGCGAAGTAGCATTTAAAAACGTTTGTTTTGAGATTGTTGGTTGATCAGGGCCAGTAGTCAGCACGTATTTCTCAGATAACAATTTTGACAACCACTTACAAAACAAACTAATATATCACTTACCAAAAAGATGACTTCTCAACAGTTACATTATATCTCCTGGTTGGTGAGGTAACTTGTACAGCACAGTGTGAACATTTGCCTTATATTTGCTTCATTCTTATGTACCTACGGTGTTTAACTTATGTGGAATTCTAGTATCGTCTTCAAGGTCAAAGTGTGTCAGTTCTGGATTCCGTATTGGAAACCCAACACTTTGTTCTCGAGTTGCCTTCATCGGGTCATCGATATGTTTTTGCAGTCATCACTTTCAGGACAATTGTATTCCTATTTGTCGAGTGGCTGCAATCAAATTTAATTGGCGGTGATGCGAGATAGGTGAACCACTGATTTCAACTGATAGGACTCGACTTTCATTTGATTCTGATACAAGTCTGGTAGTGATCGCAGCCCTGGTACTGGCATTCTTGGAAATGCGCTCCACTTTGCCAACATTGTTGTCTTTCAATGTGAGTCCTAACGCTCTCGCCCTATAGAGTCCCTGCATTTGGCATTTGCGTAAATGTCTTACAATGTGCACTGCGCTGTCTTGGATGGTGCGCTCTCAGGGCTTGTATGGATTCGCTTTACTGGCCTTTTTTCCGAGTCTCACATTTCTTTTTATTTCTAGTTTCTGGTCGCATGAAGAGTTGGGCACAACCAGCAAATCCTCAAATTGAAATTAGAAAGCAGTGTTTAAACCCGTGAAAGAGGTTGAGAATGGAATGGCTATATGATCATGATCTAGTACGTTATCAAGCCTCAATGATGCGGAAAGAGTCATTCCATTTCCATAGTATTGCCCGCAAGATAGCGGGTGAATCCCCTGTCAAATTCACTGCAGGACCTTCGTACATTTTTCACGGTACAAGAATTCTTATTCAAGTTTTTTGGCGCTGACAAGACATGAAAACCATAAAATTCGCTTGATTTATGTTTAATGACATTGTTTATATATGTACAATATATTTCTCATAAATAAGTATTATAAAATTATTTAGGAATAAAAATACTGATTTATAATAAGCGATATGGCCATGCTATAGTTGACTAAACAATCTTATTGCTTTGATATGCTTCACGGATATAGCGAGTTAAATAGAATGGATCTCAGACAAATTCAGTACGTGCCATGTTGTCTAGATTGCATTTGTCTGTTGTTAACTTCAATCTACTTGTTCTCTTATAATCTAATATCAATGGATAAATACTTAATGGATGGCTTTTTGGCGGAAGAGCTAGAAGTACTTGCACGGCTCTAAGCTACATGACAAACAAGATGTCACCTGTGGCGACAAGTGATTAGCAAAATAATTTACGAGTTCATTTAGTGATCTGTTATGTAATAACCAGATGCACATCACGGTATGTTATTATAATTATTTATGGACTGTACTCAGTAGTAACTATTGGCTATAATCGTGAGTAAGTCACGCCTCGACTATAATTAATGTGCCTTATATAAATACGTTTCACTTTTACGTGGTTGGTAATTCTATCGATCTTCCAATTGTCAATTAATAATAACAGTTAATTTAATCTTAATATTCTTATATGCGTTCTGTTACAGAATATCAGCATGTATATCAATAATAACGATTTATTTCTTCGTAATAGGGTAGATTATGCCTTCATAGTAGTGGAATAGTGATAGTAAGCGTGCAGGGTGCGACGATTAAAAGGCCAGAATGACAGCATGGCGTGATGGGGTATATTGGGCTATACTGGGTGGAGCCATCCACACAGGGAACAAACTCCAGGATTCATTGAAATCCAGGAATGGAATGATAGGACGTTCTTTGCTATCTACTTTTACTGTGCGAGTGTCGACCCTCTTTACAGAACAGTGATTGGATGAATGGATGTTCCAGTGCTTCAGCAGCTGTCAGTCTCTTGTCAGGTTCGTACTCCAACATGTGATCCAGTAAATTGAAAAACAACTCGTGCTGTTCATCATCTTGTAGCATGTATCTCTACACCAAACAAATACTATTATCAATATAGGGTACAGTGAGGGATGAGTCGTGATGGACATTGGGGAGAAACTCACTACACACACTCGCAAAACGTACGGTAACTACGGGCAACTTAGATTTTTGATGCCAAAGTTTTGTGTCTTGCACAAAATCAAAAAATTCAAGAAAAATAATGAAAATTTAAGGTTTTCCTTATCATGGTGGCATGAATTTTATTTTCAACACCATACTGAAGTGTACAAGAAATATCATTGCCTTTCATTTGTTGTTTGGACATACCCATTCGCATCTCCCCAGTGTTGTAGTGAGGAGGTCTGTTTCTCAATCCCATAATGCAACATAACCCAAAGCAACGCTCAGAGCAATTTCTATTCAATTTTATGTGATAAAAATTGTTGAACTTACCTTGAGTGGTTTGCAATTCTCACGAACATATTTTCCGGCTGAAGATCTATCATCCCAGTCTAGCCTTCCCTTGTAGAAGTATTTAGTTTTCCTGTGTAAAATTCATTATTAAATTTTGTAATCTGTAAATTTACCTATTATAAACTAGTGACATAGTCCTTTAGGGCCAGTACACAGGCTATTAACACTTGTTGTACAGTATTGATTTCCAAAACAATGCAATGTATAGATGTGAATATGAGGACTGCACGGCACTATGGCTCTGCATCAGAATTCAATTATCCCAAATTTATTTCCAAGGGTCTATCTCCCGGAATAACCTCCTTCTAAAGCACTATTCCTTTTCTTTATTTCTATTTATAAAATTTTTGATATATAACGCACGCTCTGATTGGCTGACAACCGTGTTTATATCAGAGGACAGAGACACAGCTTACCGGCAAGATTGTCTTTTCGCTCGAAAAATTTTATAAAATAAATAGAAAACGGCCGCTTGTGTCCTCTGATATAAACACGGTGGGAGTTGAAAAGCAAGAGAAACACTCGCTACACTCGTTTTCCTAAGCTTGCTTCTCTCGTGTTTTTCGAACTCCCACCGTGTTTATATCAGAGGACAGAGACACGCGCGCTATTTTATATTTCTTAAATTTAATGCAATGTAATGGTCAACCTCATACATATGCTCAAGGTCACCACTATGACAAAGGAAGCCCAAGCATCATTTATGTACCTTGATTTTTTGATAATTTTAGATGGGATTTTACCCAGTATTCTCTCCATCATTGCAAGGTGTTCTTTATTTTCATGAGTCTATGAAAAAAGGAAGTGATAGTTAACAACAATAGAAGACTTTTAAATACATATTCAAACACAGAGAAATCAACACAACGAGCTGTGTAAAAAAGTCTTGATCACTTGTGAAAACCTATTGCCTTCCCCACAAATGCCTTATGCATAGGACCTCAAACTGATTGCTTTAAGTGGAATTCCTTAGTCCACATTATGGATAACTACACCATAAATACTGCTTGGTTTAGTAGTAAGTGCAAAAAAAGTGTAAAAAGCAAGTGCAAAAACATAGAAAAGATTATGTCGAATATTTACTAGTTGTAGTTACACATTTAATATTAATAGTGCTTCTTCCAAACAGTTTGCTTATGATGTACTAACTAAAGTTGTTACCTGGAAAAGAGTAAAACCAGAATAAAGTTCAAATAAAATACAACCAACACTCCACATGTCACATGGGTATGACCAGCCAATTTCTGGAAAAACAGATGCAAAATGTTAAGATCACTGGTATCCACATGAATTGATGACCATCACTTATGTTASGGATGATTTTAACAATGAAGTCGGTGTTTTGCTAACACCAGCAATGCATGAGCAATGACAAAAGAGTGACGCTTCATGACAGCAGTCAAGATGATGATGATGATTTTGAATAATTACCTAAGATAACTTCAGGTGCTCTGTAATGTCGTGTTGATACTGTTGTACTATGATGTTCATGTTCAAATGTTGCAGAACCAAAGTCAATCAGCCGAATGCTTGAATTCCTTAAATACCGTTCGTCCTTTTTCTGAAAGATAAGATCATTAAATAAACTTAATGGTGCTCTATTGTACATRTCCGGATAAATTCATTAAAAAACTTTAACACAGCTAATTAATTGAATAAATATGTAATGGTGTTAATATTTACAAGTGCAGAAATTTATTAAAAAAGCTGTAAGTCCCTTGAGGCCTTCAGTCCTTCATTAATAGATGGTTTCATGTTTTTGATGTAATAGGCCTCAAGGAACTCCAAGCATGACCAATTGCCATGACTATGACTTTGAATTAAAGTCGAAATATTGTATTCGCTCTTCAGACTCGTTTCTTAATCCAAAATTTGGGTTTCCTAAACGATGTTTTCTTTCCTAGGAATTGTAATCATTTCAAGAAATACATTGAGTTATTACTTTCTGTCCAAAACATTCAGGTATTACTGAAGGTGAGTTTTAGAGTTTGCTCTACTGTTTTGAAGCTTTTTGGTTAGTTTTTAATTTCATGTACTTACCTCTTCTTTGTTGTAGTAAATATCACATTCTGAGTCTACAAATAACATGTTCTCTGGTTTTAAATCTGTATGTGTTAGCTTCATATCATGAAGAACTGCAAAACAAAACCATATTGTAACTACCTGGACTTAACCAGTACATACATGTAACTACCTGGACTTAACCAGGACATACATGTAACTACCTGGACTTAACCAGTACATACATGTAAATACCTGGACTTAACCAGGACATACATGTAACTACCTGGACTTAACCAGTACATACATGTAAATACCTGGACTTAACCAGTACATACATGTAAATAAAACAACTTGAATGTACTTCGTTGCATGTAACCCATAAAAATATGTTTAAATATAAGATCCTCAGCATCATCTATGAAATTATATAATGGATAATAACAACCATGTGGTGTTTGTTGCCATGGTAAGTACATGCTGCTAAACTACTTACATTGCACTGCAACTAACAGCTGATATGCCATATGTTGTACTTGTTCAAGAGGATAAGGGTCATAGCTGTTGTCCTTCTGATGTGACAAGATAACAACACAATAAAATACAAAAAAAATATATTGAATGCAGAAAGAAATATTCAGCTTCACTGCCAGCCAGACCAACAAAAATAAACAGTCATATTCCACCATATCATAATTTTTCATGAAACAAATTCATTACTCAAATCAACACAAAGACAACAGTGTGAGTATTGAATATTTTTACTTATTTACTGAAAGGAAGAATGAAAGGAAATAACTTACCATGAAATCAAAAACACTGAGTCCCATTTTCTCAAAGACAATACACATGTGACCATGATAATTGAACCAATCCAGCATCTTAATACACAAGCTATTGATGGTAAAATAAAAAAGTTTTATAAGCTATCACATGTTAACACTTCATTTTGTACTATTATAGATTGAAAATAATCAATTACAAACTGCTAATATTACTATACCTTTTTGTGTATCTTCCTTTTTCATTGAGTTTTTCTAAAACCTTAATTTCCAGTTTTGCAGCTTCCCTGTAAAAATTACAGGGCAAATATCAATACCACTGACATATAATACAAAGATAAAAAGTTTCATTATTTATTGAAAAGCTTTATTCTGTTACCTGTATTTCTCAATATTCTTGATGACTTTTACAGCTACAACATCTGTAGTTTTTCTAATACAACAACATATTTATTTAGTAAAGCACTGAGACTTAATCATTTAACATTGAAATGGATCATTCGAAAATTGCTAGCTGGGACACTGGCATGAATACCCTCACAGCAAGCTTAATGGAGACTTTGTGTGACTTATAGTCTGCAATAATTGCCAGCCCTTAAGACATCATTCAAGATAAGCTGTTCCAAACCAGCTGACCAATCTTTATAAAAAGCCAGTCAATTCACAGCTATATATTCACATGTACAAAGTATAACATTTGAAAATGCATAAAAGGAGTGTGAACCTACTTGTCATAGCACTCAAGCACTTTGCCAAACGTCCCCTCACCTAATAAACAGCTAACTTCATCTAAATATGAACATAAAACAAAGTATTATAAATAATTCACTAAAAAAMATCTTTAAATTTGTAGTCACATCCAAAATCTTGTAGAATAAACTACAATAATTGTCAATTGGGGTATTGGTAGGCAATTGTTTAGGTGAATTATAATAAGAATCAAAAGATGTTTCTGGTTAGGARTGAAATGGAGGTAATCAAGATAAGCAAAACACTAATAAAGTAAACATGATATACATCTTGAGTGAAGGACGTCTCCTTTGTGATAGATCAGATGGCCTTCCTTGTCGTCTAGAGGACTTGCAGTTCTTGTCCCGTCAGCTTCTTCATTACTCCTCTTCGTCTGATTTTTCATCGCAATTTGTTCATTCATTCACATTTTCATATTTTGAATTGGGCCGCATCAGATATCACCACAGCCATCAGCAGTGTCACATAAAAACAGCAAATATATACAAAGGACATAGCAAGCACATCAGAGTATAATCAGAATAATCAGGTTGTTTAACTGCTAAATATCCTGTAGATTGAATCACTATCCAATACCATCTAAATGAGATTGTTATGTAGTTTTCTAAGCTTTTCAAGTGGCTTAGAGTTTCCATTGTAATCTCTTCTTCAGAATTRCTAATCTAAATTTAATACCATTAATTTTGTTATTGACACTTAAGAATAAATGTTTTCATTAAATTCTGGTGGCACAGTTCAGCAAAAATATCAATTATTGCAACTACATGTACCAATGRAGGACTTCCCATTTTGAGGTATCAGATAGCTAGAAATAATGAAAGTTCATGTACAGACATGTTTTTGGATTCAATTATATACGGTAKCTCTGTGATTTGACAATTCAATGGCCAAATAAAAGTATTTATGTAACACACAGGGTGCTAAATAATAGATACTGTTAGATCTTATGGAATCTACAGGATATTTTGCTTATTTTTAGAGCTAAACACAGGATATTTTCCCTTCTTTACGACACAAAAATCTTACCTGTTAAAATAGTACTTTCATTTATAAATTCAACTTTTGTCTCATTATTTCCTTATGAATAATATAATGTACTTTCATCTCATGGCCATCAAAAATCATGTTTACTCTACTTGTGCCCAGAGATTTGTGAATGGAATTCCACAATCATGAGACAAATTAAGAAAATTGCCAATAGCTACAATAGCTGACATGAAAATACCCTGTGTTTACCTTTGTATTTGAATCATAGMATATTTATTTAGTTTTAATGAAGGAATCTTCTATGATGATGATCATGGTACAAGTAGCGTCATGTTGTCGATTTCGAACAAAGCGTGAAATTTACATTTCGAATGCAAACGTTCAAAGAGAAATTTACTTACACGTGAGCTCAGCCCATCAACGCTGTCTTCACGAYATTTGTATCGTCGTTTGTCGGATCTTCTACTACTACTATTACTCCTATCACGGTAATAATGTCGTTTTCTATCCCGACTGCGACTTCTGTGCCGTCTTACATGCCGCTTTTCGCTTAGTGGAGCCTTCAAAGGTGAATAATTTCGATCGTATCTTTCATCGAGAGGACGCCTAGCGTAATAGCTAGAAAAACTGTCCTCTCGAGAATACAACGAGCGCCTTCTCCTGTGATTTCTTGGCATTTTCATTGATAAATAGTCTGTTAAAATTCGGTTAGAACTCGAGAAAGGCGCCAAACACTACAAAGTTGTGRAACAAGATGTCGGACTTTACTGGAATGAAGCGATGAGGTCATCATTCRTCTGTGTGCTTTGATTGGCTAATAGACTAGTCACGTGAACAATTGAGCTAGTTACCTTACGCGCAGAGGGTATTGGGTAAAATTCAAGATGGCAGCCATCAGGGGAATGAGCTTRAAAAATGTCGTGAAAATAAGAGGCACTTTTTGTCCTTACGACCCAAGAAGTAGCACTATAAGGTATTATAGGGGCAATGCAAAAGT